GGCAGTGGCATTTTGCATGTCAATGCCTTGTTCTACCTGCTCTACCTTTAGTTAGCAACAATAGACTATACAATCCAACCATATTAAGAACAATACAATAAGACAGAAATCAAACAAACTATGTCCTTGGTAGCATAGCTTATTAATTAACCTTTATGCATCATTGAACATTAATTATAAATCTTTTTTATTGGGCAGATCAAATTAACAAATATTGATTTTCCACAAAAAGATATGATCTCTGTCAGTGCATAAAACATATCTTCATATAACAAGTCCAAATTAAGTGCATCACCTCCCATATGATTTGGGTTCCACATAGTATTGATTGAGTTTGATATCATGAAATCAAGTAGAGGATAAGCTAGCAATGATTTTTGGCATAAAAGCAACTGTTTTAAAGCTTTAGCCCTTGTAGGAAATGTCTTGCACTTGGTTTTATGGCATACCATGTACCTTGGATTGGAATTTTGGATTGGAATGCTACAAGTAGCTTTAAAATCAAGAAAATTATGTCAATGGTAATATGCCATTAAAACAATGCCTGAATAGAAATCAAAATACACTATAGCATCAGGAAGGACATATGTAACAGAAACAGAAAACATGACACTGTACAATGAACAAATAAAAATCTCTGACAAATTATATTTTTCATTGAGAATCATCGATTCAAAATAATTATTGGCATTGATTCCAAAATAATTGATGCAGTATAAAAAATCCACTCTTTTTCTGCCTTTAAGTTTAGTTAAAATATTCCATCTGCCATTTGTGAATCTTAAACACAACATTCGGATATAAACTAAAAACAGACTAGACATATCCCTAATTATTCAATGATTTATATCTTTCAATTATTACTATTAAATGGAATGTTGTGAAATTAAATACCCAATTTATGATATTTTTCATTACATTCCCAGCAGGGTCCAGTTACAAGATATTGAAACAAAGAAAATCTTGAATTAATCACTTTAGGGGCGATGCTAATATTAGTTGAACTCATGGTATTTTACAATGCCCTTGATTTTGATTTTCAATGGATAAAATAATAAAAACTTCACAATACTTTTCATATATTTTGTTTGAGATAGTTATCTTCATGTATTTTAATATCAGTGATTCATTAAAGATAATTTCATTGAATTTTTTAAAATTTCTGATGTGTGTGAAGAATTCATAAAATAAAATAAAATAATTACTTTGTTTATTCAATAAAATACTATTCTTTCCCTTCTTTTAACAATTGCTTCTTAAAAGAAAGCTTTGTCTTTTTCTTTAGCTTACCTCTGTGCTCAGGTAATAAACCACCTGTCATTTGTTACAGATATTGACTGCTGTTACAAATGCCAAACATTGTCACAGACACCGAATGCCAAACACCAACCACTAAAATGTAACTCTGCATTTTTGGTTTTGTTATCTGTACTAAGATGTCTATCTCTCTCCCTCTAGAAGGAGAGAGATAGAGAAGGTGTGGCTTAATAGTAGGCATTACTAGATTCTGTGCCACAGGGTACTACACTGACTACACTGCCCCTCCTCCCAAAATTTAGCCCAAAAGTGTTAGGGTAACAAAACTGGCATCACTGGGATATATCTTTTAATTTTGGTCTCAAAATTGGGGCCCAAAAGTGGATATTTTTAGGCTCCTTTTTTAATTTTCAGATCCGCCCCTGGAGTATCTAAAATAGTGAGTTTTGACTTCATAATGTGCTCAATGGATTCCTAGTCCTACTTAATTATGCCACATAGAATTCTAAACATTATCAACATTCTACATCAAGCTATACATTGACAAACTGCTGAATAGTGCGACATTCCTAAACTGTTCAACATAGCATATAGAAAAGAAAATAACATACCAGCTTACCTATATATGATCAATGCCAGTTGAGATTTATTCTGTTTGTAGTTATTACTTAATTATATCAATGTCATTAACATGTGCGGTTTATTAGCTGCAATTTTTGTGGTAATTTCCTTTATGATATCATATGGTGAATCTCTATATTAAATGGCACTTCTGATAAACAGAACTTCTAAGGACGTCTTAAATACACATAATCCAACAAATATAGTATTTGTGACTTTCTATAGACTTTTGTAGTAATGTTTACATCGGTACACATGTCCTCGTGCCTCAACCTGGCGCTAGAACAGATTCGACCAATCAAATGCCAGGATCTCTCGCCTTATAAAGTGACAGCTGGGGGAGTTGACAATGAAATTTAAATTGACTTGTGATTTGTTTTGAAAATGAATGTAGTTCTATTGAAACTTTACCAAATGGGAAAGATGTAGCAATTCAAAATATTTTTTTTTACATCTGTAACAGTGAGGAAAATTAACTACAATTGAAATATGCCCAATGAATTATTACTTGTTTTGGAAGACATTATAGAGACAGTGCCTGTCTTATTAAATCAAAAATAAGTTAAATCCAAGATAATTTGGCACTCAATGGTACTAAATTGGTACTTAATTGGCACTTATGAACTACATGTCCCTTTCTCTTTTTTCAAAATACTTCTTAACATCTTTAATCAGATGATGATGCAAAAGAACTGTCTTAAAATACAGATTGGGTTTTAAACAAAGCATTAACATGTAAAATGCCACTACCTGCCACTTGTTACAAATACAAACTGCTGAACACCAACCGCTGAATGGTGAACATCAACTGTTGAATACCATCCACAAAAAGTTGGAGATTATAACAATGTCACCACTTCTGATAGTGACATGATAATATTTTTGCTTGACTTTAATTTTTCCCATGAGTAACTCAGATTATCGCTTGTTTAATGGAGAGAAAACATAAAATAAAATAAGTTCAATTTCACATCAAATCATGTGATGAAAAGCTGGCATGGCTGCAAAGGATTACCATATAAATATGCCAAAATAAGCAATTGATATAATTCACAATGGGTATATATTCTAAACAAACAGAACCATAACTGTATCTTAATCCCCAGGGGAATTTAAGGGTTGAACAGTATGACTAACTGCAAATTATAATATAACATACATTATGACTATGATATTATGTACTCAATGAATAAGTAACAATAACATACAATTGCTCGATCAATAGTTGTCTACATGCGGAATAAGAATGATATTTATCAACTACATTCGTGAAATGACAAAGAGCACCCATTTATTAACATTCATATTAGTCTACTCAAATTTATTGAATAACGTACCTGTTGTTTTTCACGTAACCACCACTCATAATGATAATCCAAAAATCATAAAATATTCCAGAATGTAATACCGTACTTGCTGTATTCTACTGAACAGTTCAATAGAAACTCAGGCCAAATACTCAATGGTCTTAGTGCACTTGCGGCCAATATTGATCCAATTGTTTATTTTGAAATGAATCCAATAGACAGTGGTGATTTATTAGTGCTACTTTTCAATCAATCCCTTGTGAATATATCCTTAGTTTATGCCTCACGTATGCGCTGTCGTTGTCGTTGTGTTAAAATGAGATCAGGACATATACTCTTCAATTCCAGCCTTATCTTACATTTGCTGTTGTGGCAAATCCCTCATGAAAAGCCACATATAGGTTTCCAGATAAATGCAATTAATGATTGTATGTGTAACCTTGACAACGAATAATAGATATTGCTATAAAAACTTCATTTCACCACCAATCAATTTACTAGTAGTCTATTAATCTAAACTTGATATACTATATAGAATTGAATTAAATTTCTCATTTGTTTTCAGAGCTGGGTGAATACTCTTGAAAGCCCTAATTCAATACTTTATCATGTGGTACATGTCAAGTGTCACATATAACTTTTAAAGGCATGAACATATTTGATTATAAATTATGTCCCTTGCTATGTCATCTAGCTTGGTTATCTAGTGTTATCCACTGTTACATGAACTCAGATATGTTCAATTACTACAAATAATAGTTATTATCACTTTCAGCTGTTTCAATAATTATTAGCGTGGGGTCATTAGCATTGTTCACAAGTTCAGATGTTTACTCTAATGTTTATTCCACATACATGATATAAGAAACGTTTCATTTAAAGCTGGGAAGATCACTGAGTGGTTTTCCTGGAGTTTTGATGACAACATTTATATGGCATCCACTTGCCTAATGCCTATCCGCACGCCAAAAATTGTGCAATAAAAATTCTAAGCTAGGGACTATCTTATTATCCAGTTGATCGATAAGTTGCCATGTTATAATTACATTCTCGAGTGACATCTATATTTTACAATAGATATTTTTATGTATATCTGTATATGACTTTATAGAACTAGAAGAATGGAAAGTTGTTTCTTTGTATAGATGTCACCATAATCACCCTCAAGATGGCATTTTGATTGACAAGTATTTCAAACAATATAATACATTTACTTCTCTGTGTCATGCTTTTTTCAGTCTATTGGAGGCCTATATTGCAGACATCTGTTGTGTTATCAAAAATATGAATAGATGGGCACCAACGTTTTTTTAATTCACTGGACATTTTTCAACAGACCAGTGTTTATGCTCCATCTTGATATCAAAACTAATGACACTTATCTAGTAACTCTAGTACTCTACCTAGCTCTGAGTCAACTGACCTCTACAACCACGTTGTCATGCACTAAGGCTTTCCCCTCTCACAATATCTATTTTCCCAACATAAGTTAGAAAGAGAAAAGGGTGAGGAGGGGGAAGGAAGGGGGCACACAGGGACTTGAAAAGACTGGTAGGGTACATATTGGAAACTACTTGCAGGCTTGCATCTTTCAGAGTGCCTCTTTATCTAATGCTCACACTTCACAGATAAAGTAGACACTGAGAAATGATAGGGTTGCAAATCAGCTTCTACTCAGTTGAAAATTAGGTAAATTGTGAAATTAGACTAATGTACTTGGTAAAATAATCATACACAGAGTGAGAGAAAACAATCAAGGGAAACACTGAGCTTGATCAAAGGCCTAATTATGATATACATGTAATTCATATTTACCTGGTGCTCTTTCAGTTTTTCTGTCAGTATCTCAGGACTCCATTGTGGGGAGAGGCACATTGGTAGCAGATGACTTTCTACATCATGTAACCATTTCCTCAATCCATTCAAGTCTTGTTCCAGATCTATAAAATAACACAGGATTTAATATAGTTTAGCTTACTGAAGTATTGAAGTACCTAATCAACTGAACTTAATGTTTATAAAAGTAAATTGTTATCTTATTGCATACATTTTATTCAAGCACAATTCAGATTCATACAGATTGTACATCTTATTCAAGCACAATTCAGATTCATACAGATTGCACATTTTATTCAAGCACAATTCAGATTCATACAGATTGTACATTTTATTCAAGCACAATTCAGATTCATACAGATTGGACATTTTATTCAAGCACAATTCAGATTCACACAAATTGGACATTTTATTCAAGCACAATTCAGATTCATACAGATTGGACATTTTATTCAAGCACAATTCAGATTCACACAAATTGGACATTTTATTCAAGCACAATTCAGAATCATACAGATTGCACATTTTATTCAAGCACAATTCAGATTCATACAGATTGCACATTTTATTCAAGCACAATTCAGATTCATACAGATTGTACATTTTATTCAAGCACAATTCAGATTCATACAGATTGTACATTTTATTCAAGCACAATTCAGATTCATACACATTGTACATCGTATTCAAGCACATTTCAGATTCATACAGATTGTACATTTTATTCAAGCACAATTCAGATTCATACAGATTGTACATTTTGTTCAAGCACAATTCAGATTCATACACATTGTACATCGTATTCAAGCACATTTCAGATTCATACAGATTGTACATTTTATTCAAGCACAATTCAGAGTCTTTGATAAAAAGAACTATTACGCACCTCCGAGCATCGCATCAGTATCAACTTTCCCGCCACCAGGGGTGATAGCTTTCTCAATGGTCTTCCATTGATTGTTGACCTGCTGAATAGGCAGTTGTATCTCATCCTTCATTGCGGGGTATCGGCGCATAAGCTGTTTGGCATAGTCATTGAAGAGTTTACGACGTGGAGAATTCTGGAGCATTTCCTCATAGTAAGTCTGGAATATGAAAAGAAGTAGTTTTATTGGTGTGAGTGGCATTGAGCTGAGAGGTTTCTGGGATATTGTTGATGTGGTTACTTGACATAGCCTCACCCAAACCAATCAACCAACCAATCAAGCAATCAATAAAACAATCAAGCAATCAATAAGCCATGTGTCATTGAGAATATCAGGCCAGTAGCCAGGGGGGGGGTCGAAAAGTCAAGCAGTTTTCACCATTCTGAGCACTTTTCAAGTGATTTTGAGCCAAAGTTGTAAAATGAATTTTTTGAAAAGTGAAGCCCCTTGGCAAGAGCTGGTTACAGGTCTGATTTAACACTTTGATTCTTCATTAGACAATATTTTATCATAATATACTTTACAGCTCTCAGGTCTCAAGCCCCTTCCCATATAAGGTATAAAGTAAGACAAATTCATTAATTTCTCAGAAATATATCCCATAATATATGCGTTTTATTGTGATTGTATGGCATTTGGCCTTGATATTTGATGCAATACTTCTTGTACATCATTAGTAAGTGTCAAGGAGGACCACTTTCTCTTATCATTGATTTAAAGATGTATTAAAAAACAAATTACAGACATGGTCAAGAGCATGATTATATATAGTGTAAAGGTTTATGACCTGAGATAGATGTCCTTGGACCTACAGTATTTATAAATCATTAGAGTAGATAATGTAGGTAATTTGAACAGCATGTTGTATACTGACTGTGTCAACTGTGACTGTGTAGAAGAATTTAAACAGAAATGAATAATTATTTTATTAAGTTTGTGATTCTTACCCTCATCCCCTTACATTATCTCTACACAGCCCCACTCCCTTAATTTTCTCATATGTGAAGGTACATTGATGTTGGAGGGAGGGATCAACACGACCGTACGATTCCCACTTATAAAACATTACAATGTTAAAATAAAATGAGCATTTCAACAAGGCCTACCGTTCTCTCTAGAATTCAAGACATGGAAAATAAAATGTGGGAGGATAAGGAGAGACTTAATGTAGGACTTGACAGCTTATTTATTAGACCCCCTGGTTACCTACCTGATTGAGGTACTTCTCTGATAGGCTGCTGCTCTGACGCTGCGTGACGAGTTGTACCTGGTTCAACCAATCAGTGAGCTCCTTGTACTGCTGCATGAACTCTGTGAAGGAGACATTTGTATCCCTCAGGAGATCATCCTCCTCCCCCCAGGAGAGGTCACTCTCAGTCGACTAGAAGAACACAAAAGTACGATAAGAACATTTTCATGGTAGGTCGTTAAGTATAAATGTTAAAGAATAGGTAAATAGTTTGATGTAAAATTTGTTCTCAACTTTTGGACAGAACTGTAAATTTTATCTCAGCAAAATTATCAAAAAATCATCAGTGTAGACTTTTTCTGGTTGTTTATTGTTTTGTATTTATATTTTGCCTTTTATATTGTTTAAAAACATGGGGATCTATTTCTAATAATAAAAATCTACCAATGGGAGATACTTTTTGATAATATGGCACTCAAATATCAATAACGCATCTATTTTAGACAAGGAAATGAAGAAAAATCCACTACATACATTATACTTTTCCTTAAAAATATAATGTCCAAAGTGCATTTTAGCGATAGATGAACTCCAATACATCTAAACTTTAAACCGAAAGCAATATAAAACAGAAAATGAAATTGGTATTTATCTGACATTAATCACTATTGATGGGTCTAAAGTGGTTTCTGGTGTTTGTCTAATCTTTTACAGGAATTTAGATATCAAACGATACAAAATCAATATTTTGGTGAACCAAATATTTCACAAGTGGTCTGACACTAAAATGGTATTTTGACATTAAAATGTTACCAAGGTTTTGTTTGTTTTATAAAAATAGGTTGTGGTGCTCTTAATCTACTTAAAATAGGGTTGTATTTTAAGATTTCAGTTGATTTTGTTTTTGTGTTTTCTCCAAAAAATGCTCAAAATCCATATTTAAATCATGTCTCACATCACTGCATTTCTAGGGATTTTAAAACATACTTCAGTATTTGAAATTTTCATCCCAGGGTCTGAATGAGGCCAATTGACCGTTAAATGTTACCCCCTCCGTCCCCTTTTTATATGGGATCACTAGTATCTCCAAATACTATGTTGCTTTTTTCTGTTTTGTTATTAACCAAGTAACCTACTGCATATCATCATAACTTTTGAAACTTGTTTATTGTCTTATGATTTACTACTTGCTAATTTTAGGCAAAGCCTGTTATTTTACAAGATGTGTAACTAGTAACAACATCCATCAAATGTTCCAGTATACTTCCGCCTGGTTGGAAATTAGTTGCATATTTTGGTTATTTTGTTTGATTACACTAGATTAAGTATGAAATGAGTTCCATGTTCTGCAATTGAACTGACATGCAGGAACCGGGGCTATTAGCAGATGTGGAAAGTTAATTCACCAGTTAGATTCCATTAATAGCAATTTGAAGGCTAAAAAAGCTTATCAGTAACCTTATTTCTATTTTGTTGTCTATTATGTTGGAAAAAGTACCAATTTGTAGTCTTGCTTCAAGGCCTTGAGATCCCCTCTCTTATACACTTCGCTAATGCCTTGGTCACATTTGCTCCGATTTTCACTACGGCGCCCGGCCGATTGAGTATTTTGTTCAAATTGAATACAATATTGAACAAAACACTCAACCGGCCGGGCGCCGGCCGATGGATCGGAGCATATGTGACCCAAGCATTACTGGAGGTTAAATAGATACAAGTGTTTGGAGGGGGGGGGGGGAGTGAATCATCAAGGCTTGAAAAATCTGGGTTCAAAGTGAGGGATACTTTCATCATATTTTTTCTGTTAACCAGAAACAGGCTTGCCACACTGACTTTGTTTCTATCCATATAAAGTGAGTACATTTTAAGCAAATGTAAATCGTACATTACTAAACTTGCTTTTGTTAAATATTATTTGCCAATTGTACATTTATAATTGTGGTTCAATCTGAAGTACATGTACTGTACAATGTAAAATACTGACTCATTATCAGGAGTTTCAATAGCACAAAACAAACCTTTCTCTAATTATTTTCTATTATTTGCTGTTGTTTACATATTAGAATTCTAACTTTCAATAATTTTGCCATTGTATACATGTTAAAATTCTAATTCCAATAAAATTGCCTGTTGTTTTCATTAATTTAGTTAGTTCTCAGAAATTCTAATGAGACTGGACTTTCTGGCAGTGCCATACTAATAATTTTGGGGTATAGTAATATAGACCTCAACTTCCTCTGAACTTTAGCATTCTGATATCCATCTTTCTGATTACATCTTTCTTGTAATAGAAAGAAAACTGACAGAAGGCTATGATGTTTCACAATGGTAACCCAGAGGCTTGATATGCTATCTCCCTATTCTTACCTTGCATTGTTCAATAATCTCTTCATCCATGCAGTACTGGTAGTCAGACTTGATAGATGCCCACAGCTCATTCTTCTTGTATTTCTTCTGCTGTTCCTTATCACCCTTTTGTTTCACATCAGGTGAATCAACGGGGCTGGGGTTCTCGCTTGAATTGTAGAATGAGTCATCGTAGCGAAGCAGTTGGCGAAATGATGGCGATTCCGTTGGGCTGAAACTCCCGACTGATGATGGTGTTACGGGGTCTTCTATTTTAAGGCGTTTAGCTTCAGTCGGGGAGTCCCAGGGTTTTGCGTAGTCTCCTGGAAAGAACTGCTTTTTATCAACGTCGAGATGCTTAGGAGCATTGTCCCTTGGGTTGTAACTAGCCATGGTCTTCACGTTGTTGTGGTTCACACTCTGAGGGGAGTCACTCGAAAAATATCCTGTGTCATTGTTCTGTGACAACGAAGGCGAAAATTTATTCACTCCCAGACTGCTCTTTAAAACGCATGCTACGTCTTTATAGGAGTGCTGTGAGGGGCTAGAGATCCCATTAATAGGAGTATATCTTGGGGAACTTTGTGACTTTTTGCTATTAAGGGATTCTGAATTGGATGTTGATTGTGTTGTTTTCAATTTATTTGTTTTGATCTGGTTTTCATATCCTGCTGAAGATGATACATTCGAGCTTATTTTCCAGGCTTGGTCTGTTTCTGAATCTTGGAAAAATTTCTCCCATTGATTCTCTGCTGCTTGAATACAATCCTTGGTGGCAGAAAATGCTTCACCAACTTTTGCTAAATCTTTGAAACAATGTTGAGAGGTAGTTGGACTGCTCAAGGTGTCTATGCTATTTTTATATCCTACATTTGATTCCGTATCCACACCATATGTCAGTGTTGAAATTCTCGAAGTATATCCACCATCCGTTGGTGTCTCACTCGAAGTTCTGCAAGAACTACAGAATCGACTTGAATTTGTAGATTTATACTTCGATGTATAAACTGAGAAATCACTTTTCAAAGATGATGGTGTATAATCCACTTCACTTAGGTTTGATTGATATGGGCTTTCCAGATGCTCTTTCAGTAGTGATGATCTATGGTGGTTGCTATATCGATCAGTTCCTAGGTTACCATGGAGATCTTGGTGGTTGCTATAGTGACTGCTAGTCTCATATGACAATGGCTCATCCTTCAGATTCTGTAAACAAAAGGACAAGAATTTAAATACAGTAATTGGAATTAATTCAACAAAAATATTAATTTGTAAAATTAAATCACATGTACAATGAAGATCATTCGTATTAAAAAGGATTTAAAATCGATACAATTCTAATATTCTCAAAAAATATTCTGGAGATGGGAAATATAATTATAACAGAATATTGTGTATCAGGCCCTTTCAACTTTATATCTATTTAGCGATGCTTACTTATAGGTTCTACTTTAATTTTGACATGGCCTTTACAAAAAAAGAAAAAACTTGTCACAAGCTCCTTTTATCAAAATTTATTTCTGTTAAATAGACCATTAAGCTATATGGCCTTGTGTCTAGGTGAAATCACAATGATGATGTTTTCACTAAAGCATGAAATATTGATTAGATTCCTCAACCAGGACTTGTATGTACTAGATGACATCGTATGCTTTATATTTATGGATTACACCTGTAGTTCAATATAGCTAGTGATAATACTGGATATATATTGTTTTATGTCAATTAACAATAGACAGTCAGTCTGACATTAAGAAGAAAGACGATATAGGAAATTACATCCCATTAGCATATCCTATTAGAGATACATTGTACTTTTGTTATATAATAACCATATCCTTTCTAATATATAGAGATTATCCTATATGAGGTTCAGGATATTGGGATTATCCCGAGGCAAATATAATATATTTGCCCGAGGGCCGCAGGTCCCGAGGGAAAATATATTATATTGGCCAAGGGATAATCCCAATATCCTGAACCGGCTATAGGATAATTTGTTTATCCCATACCAATCTTGGTCATCTGGTTCACATTGTTCAATCGTGGAAATATTTTAGAATATTCATGTCCAGTTTTGTTTTCTTGGCCGTGGGCGGATTTTCCGGTTCTCTCAAATATTCCCACATTTATTTTCTCGAATTTTTGATTAAGTGGATGCTCCTTCCCTTTTTTGAACCATTAAACAGATCCCGATTGTCTGTGTTTTCTCCATTGTCGTTTACAGTCATTACGCGAACGTTACAAATTATGCGAGCGGCGATTATGACGTAGCGGGCAGATATACTATATCTGCCCGCTCGGAGCGGGACGTAAAGCTATATCTGCCCGCTGATGAAAATATAAGTTTTTACAAACCGGCTTTATGTACCTGTAACACGTCCAAGTATGGGATAAAATCAGAGATATAATATACATATATATTATAAAAACTATTATCATATGTTATGATATAGGAAGGAAAGAATCTAACCTTTTACCAGTAGTCCAAATTTTTATCTTTTAATTCTTGACATAACAAAAGTACGAGATCTCAATCTGTAGCTTTCCTCTCCAAATTCAAGGGATATTTTACCTCCAGGAAAAAGACTTGAAATGTTATTCAAAGGTTATAATTAATCTTTTCTTCAGAGGTGTTTACTTCATCAATGCCAGTTCTGGAGATAACACAGGTATTTTCACTCCAGATTTGATTACAATTAATACATCATACGATTAATTAAATTCACGAGACTTTTAATTAAGTATTATGACTGATGATTACCCTTTTCAAAAATAAGATCACCTCATTTAGAAACCTCCAGATCTAGGGGTAAAAGTTGATCAATTTTGAGTTATAAAAATTGTTTATCAAACTAAAAATCAGATGTACATTTGTGCTGAAATAATGCATGGAAGAAGTAATGGTCTTGCATTCAGACCCTGTTCTTCCCCATCATCATCATCATCTCATAAAAGATTAATGAAATGTCAAAATTATTCCTAATACTGCATTTGATGTAAAAATACTAGGACCGAAAACATGATTTTTGTGGTTGCAAGTACCATTAATGAAAACTTACTTTCAGGAGCTTGATACACACATATTATACTTGCACTGATAAAACTCATAATATCAATATTGGACCATAATCCAGATTATACTTATCCATTTCTCACTTTATGATTGGGATTATCTTAATCTTAATCAAATTTTTCTTTCAGCTTATTAATGCAGTATATGACACATTTCTTACAAATGAAGGGCAAAATAGAAATCTTATGGTAAATTCCTGGCCTCTGATTTGTCAGTGACCATGTTCAACTCATGCTTGTGAAACAACCCATGATATGCATCCTGAAATTCTAACATATCTAGGATAAACCTTAAAATGGCTTAACAATCAAATACCTTTACTTATATTATTCCAAACATTGGTGAATTAACACTGATACGCTGTTACCCCAATAAATTCCAAACTCACCCTGCAGTTCTAAGATCATTCTGTACAACAAAATTTAATGATTTTGAGAGTCTCTGCTCCAGTCTCTGTAACCTTCCAGATTCTGAATTTGATATCCCAGTTGAATGAAATATGCTTCCACTAACACATGTATCCTGTTAGACTTTCAGTTTACATTTATGATATACTAAATCATCCATAATCACTTGAAACTATTAAATAACCAGAGAAGATCATTGTAACTTGGTAGAGTGAAACTTTTCCTCCAGCGTGGCAGATTACTTGAAATCCACATAACACAGAATTACACCATCAAAAATAACTATCTGAACCATGTACCTTACATAAGATCACAAGTTTCAAGAAAGCTTGGGAATTTCTTCCTGATTGTGCTCTACAAAGCTCTGATTAACGTATATTGTTAAAGAGGGAGATGTGAAACAGGAGATGTGAGAAATAACTGACTAATAGTGGATGGAAGCTACAAACATAAGCAGGAAGAACAGGCTATGGTAGCAACTGGAGATTGCATCATTGCGATGCAACAGACATTTCAATGAATGGGTTTATTGATTCCTAGCCTGTCTAAAAGAGAGTATTTCTAGTTTATAGGTCTCAGATCAATTGATCCCTATTGTAAAAAAAATGGAAAATGCCTGCCATAGCATAGCTAAGAATGTATTTGAATGGATCTGGTACACTAAGTCAGATTGATCGGGCCCTTACAATTTTTACCTTGACATAAGCCTTGTATCAGACCACCATGCTACCCTGATCTCCAAATACGTCTCTTAGTGGTAGGACTCGCCCAAATTTTCAGACTCGATTATCAACGGTAACGGGAGCAAAATATTCTACAAAATTTTGAAAACAAAAACGAGGCTGACCAGCACTCAAGGCTTCGATTCGCAGAAAAATCTAAATTTAAACAGTTTGACAAAGGTACTATTATAAATAAAGAAAATGTATGTAATTATTGGGTAATATGTAAGTATAAATTGAATTTTACTCGATTATTTGTTAAAGAACTGAGCTGAAGTCCGATTCGAGTCAAAATCAGAGTTGAAAACAAAAGTCAATTTTCAAACTATTCAATCCAAACAAATGATTATTCGTGTTGGCGATTTATCGTACCACCACTTACGTCTCTAGTAGGCAAAATAGATAGTGGACTTGATCTAAATTTCCATCATGGTATTCCAACATCTAACATTCTAATAGTGATTCATATTAGAATTTTTACACATAAATTTTATGAAGAACTTTGTATCAATGATTTTATGATCTAATCAGGAATTTTTGTGTTCTTATAAAAATCAATCACTCTAAATAAAGTACAAAGGTACCTGGTGGTTCCTCATTTATAAATTAATAACTGATTTCATGATCATCAAATGAATAAACATCACATTAAAAATATGTCATGCTAGTGACATTTATTACATGGCATGTACAAAATACATATACAATGTTTTTGTCAAATTTTAAAGTATGGTTTCAATTCGATTTCAGCTGAGGTGAAAGAGTTCACATTCTGTTGACAACCAAATCAAATATGTGCTCAGTGCAAAATACAATGGATTAAAAAACGCAGTTGTGATGAAATTCCCACACTCTACTATTTACTTTATAATGGTGTCAGGTCTCATACTCTACAATTGTGTTAGGTCTGTACTACATACTCTACAATGGTGGCAGGTCTCTATTTTATAGTCAACTATGATGTCAGGATTATACTATATACTTTTCAATGGTGTCAGGTTTCACCATCTCTAAAATGGTGTCAGGTCTCACTATCCTCTAAAATGGTGTCAGGTCTCAAGTCCAGTCTGCTCAATGGGAAATACAGCCATGAATGGGAATAAATGAGATCAGTTATTGATCCATTTAGTCCATTGTAAAATGTATTTATACTCAATACAGGTTGATTGACATTTGAGAATGAATGAATGGATGAATAAATTTTTTGAAGTAGCTAAACTTGATCAATGAAAACAAATCATACATTCTTTAAATTAAGAATAACAATTTGATATCAATTTTTTCAGATAATTGACACTATACTTTCTGCCCATAAACATTAATCTCTCATTTTAACTCTCATTAAACTCCATGGATGAAGAATTTGAGATTGTGAAGATCTATAAAGCTGATGGGCATCAAATCTTCAACCTTCCAAAAATTAAACTAGTGAATCGAGACACTGGTTCTAATAATTTCATAATGACCCATCAAAATGTCCATTACTTAAGTTACAAAAAACAGAAAGTTAAGTAAGATTATGTGATGGGGATGTGATTTAGCTCCCAGCCATATGTCAGTAAAGAAAGCCATAAAATGAGATTACAGATCTGTACAGCAAATCTTTTCCCATATGGTCACAGAGTTATTTAGGGTCAGTGTATGAAGGATAAAACACTAAATTATGTCCTATTAGAATCACAACCAATACTCATAATTGTTCATAGGGAGGGGAAGCCATAGTTGTTAACCAGCTGATCATTTAGATTTTTTGTTTTGTTTGCAAGTCACGATAAATGTTGAATAACAGAAAACACAAAACAAGACTATTTCAAGAATGTTGCGAAAACAACACATCAGAAATCAAATCAAATTTTCATTCACATGCTTAAAATATCCATGCCAAGTTATTGGGCTAGAGACTCGAGTAAGACAGGCGTATAGTGTTTGATTATGTTAAAACACTAAATGTCTCGTATGAAAACATATACTGTACAACTATAAATGAAAGCACGACAATGT